GATAACAAGTAATAAACTAAGCCTGTTAACAAATAACATATGATAACAATTTCTAAATAACAAATAATGTATCTTAGTACCCTCATACTGCAATCTACCTAGTTAATATCCAAATAGGAACCACCCAGATCGATATTCCTCTACTGGTTTTACCCCGCTGAAATTAATTATTGGTATTACCCAAGGAGAGGCACAGTAAATGCCCCTAATTTCTTCTACATCCCACACATTTTAAGATTAGGATTCAAAAATATTATGCCTTTAAACCTAAGTTAGTACTAGGGTATTACCCTACATATCTCCTGCTTTAATTAGTTTACAACAATCCCAGTACCTACACTTGAAACTGTCTCTTTACCCGAATTCTATCGGTCCCTCCCTTACTTCTAGCCAGCAATCTGGAAGGGTTGGTCTTGTCTAGGCTTTAGGTGCTTAAGGACACCCTTTCTTTGGTTCATACTTTCAGAGCGTATGTTCTTTTCCTCCAGTGCAACAACCCGGTGGTTTAGCTGGTGTGTTCTCTGCCAGCAAACCTGGTCACTCGGTTCTCCAATTTCGGGCCCCAGTTCAAATTCAGCCCTCCTGTAGTATCATTGAAGATCATTGCTACTCCAAATTTGGGACTTGCCAAATAGGTTATGCTGGTTCCTTGGATTTATTGTGCCAAAGCTCCCATTTCTAGATGGTGTGACTGAAGTTATAGATTAAGTTCTAGATCTAACCAATAAGCATAGCCGTCAACCAAACACAGACCTATTTTTCAAATATCATCGGCAGTGGGATTTGAACTCTAGACCTGCCACTTGGAGAAAGTAATGACTAGACTACTACACTAAGTCACCACACCTTTAAGTTCGATTTTTAGAAAACTGTGTATATGTAGATATAAATAAAAATCTTATCTTTTATTCTTTATTTAATTTTATACTTACTTGTATTTAGAAACACTTTCCATTTTTATTTGTAGAATAAGTCACAAATTTTTCATATTTCAATATGTCCTTGAAATTTTGATAATTCAGATAAGATAGATAGTTTAGAAATGAAACATTTGGTGAGTGTTCAATCAACATACTGTTAAATTTGATATTAATTTTTACAATAAGAGCTGTGGATATTTAATCTTATATGTTATGGATCAAAATACAATTCTAAAAAGCTTCTTTGATTATAATTTAAACTTCATTTAAGGAATAATAGATAGCTTTAAATAAACATCTGTATGTTATTTTAATACAGATAAAATTGGCTTTTTTTATAAATATTCATCAGTAAGCAATTATGTAAATAAATATATACTTTAAAAAAAATAAAATTTGTACGTCGCTTATTTTGAAATAAATATGTTACTTATTTATCTAAAATCAAACGTCAAATCATCTGTTTTGAGATTTATGTACTCATAAGAACAAATTTATTTAATTTAATTTAATGTTCTCAGTTATTATATTGTTATATAGTTGATACTAAAATAATCAACTTTTATAGAGAAGCATGTAAAAAAAAAAGAATTAGGTGCCAAAAGACCGAAATTTCAACAACAATTTGCTGATTTGAAACATGGTCTCACTGTAGTTACAAATGATAAATGATTAAGTCCCAACCCTTCTCATCTTTTATATTTATTTATTTCTTTTCAGATGATTTTAAAACTTCATTCTATATGTCTACCTGGTATTACATTATTATAGAGACCATATTTTTCAAGTATTATGTTCTCAAAATTTTTTTTACAGAAAACATTTACAAAATATCAAATGTTCTTAAATCTAAAGGTATATTACTGTTTAGTGCATATCTAACTTTATAATTAAAATTTAATTTAAACACAATATATATACTATCTACACTAAGGGAGCTGACAAAAATCAGGTGATTTTTTAGGAGGGGAGGGGGGTAAAAAAAGTTGAAATTATATATAAGGAACCTGACTATTTGTATATTAAGGGAGGGGGGAGGAGTAGGCCTCTGATAAAAAATAATCAGGTGATTAATGACACAGCCCTAATTATTAAAACCATGATTATTGGAATAACGGCTACAACTTTTAAAGAAATATCAATATTAGTATTATTCAATTTAGTCAGGCCATGAAGATTTTAACTCATATAAAGAACCAATATGTTTTAAAAACACCAATATTAACTACAACTATAGTAAAATATTTGCCAGATTTGGGAGAGCTTGTGCAGATTAGCTTTGGGCATTGCATAAGTTGTGCAGGACGATGTCTTAATAAGAAATTTGGGTTTAATGATAGTTGGAAATTAAAAAAAGTATAATCATTAAAATGATTCATATATTCAATCTCTTATTTTTTAATATAATGATACTTTACTTTTAACTATTATCCCACTTTATTAATACAGTAATATAAGAGAATTTTATATATTTATATATACGTACAATATGTATATCTGATTTAGTTATATTATTAATTAAAGAAATATAGTAATAACTAAGAAATGTAGTAATAATCTATGTCACAGATCATAATGAAATTGGATTAAAATAAAACTGGTGACCTTTCTTGCTTATCTTTAAAGCTTATAAAACCCACTTATACACTTTTATTAATAAAACTAACTCTAAACCCTAACCCTAACCCTAACTCTAAAAAATGTCTCCAAAAAATTTTAAATTTTCCAAAAAATTATATTTTAATCCAATTTCATTTTAATCTGCCACAATCTATGATCAAATTATTATATATATCAATAAAATACATGATTATAATATTATATAACTTATCATATGAAGTGCCATATTAATAATTTAATATAACGATATATATATTTTATTGTTTAATGCTGACTAGAATATTAATATTTGTAATTAACATATATTCACTAAACACAACTCTTTCCAACGATCACTTGGACCAAATTTTCTGATGAAAAAAAAACCTATTTTCAATACTGGAGAGTAGTAACCTGTAGTGAGGAGAATCAACAAGCGGTTTTTATAAAGGTTAACCTTTTTTAAATTCGGGGACTCCTTTATATATTCGATATACAAGCCAAAAGCGTTTGTATACAAGATAACTGACAGAAGATGGTGCTCTCGTATACAAAATTTTGGTGGTTAGGTAAAAGTGATACAGTTCAAGCCTTCCGTCGACGAAGCTATTGGTTGCGAAACAACTGGGGAACAGTAAAGAAAGGGTTTCTTTTAAGCCGCACTTTTTATTTTTGGCCAAGTGGTGTCTACTATCTTTTTTTCGCTTTCTTGCCTTTCTTCCAAAATTTTTCGACAAAAAGTGGGGATTTGGCTTACCTCCTCCAAAAGATCAGCATTGTTTACTTTCTAAATTCAGACAACCTAATGAAGTGCAACCACGTGTTTTACAGATACGGCACATTAGAATCAGGCCCCTGGCATGGAACCTCTAATAACAGCAGCAGGTGGCTTGAGTCTACGGATAGCGGCAGCACCTGGCTCAAGATACGAATTAGAATGGGCACAACGTAGTTATTTGGAGTCAATCGAAAGGTCAGAAAGAAAAATCAAACATTAAGGCAAAGCTTTACAATAAAGATATACAAATGTTGCATTTGTTATATAATTTTTATACTTACCTGGCACAGGTTATAATAGTGTATTTTCTTTTTCTTTCTTTTTTTAGATGTGTCCATCAGAACTATCCTATTCTTTTTTTTTGCTTTTTTTCATCTTTTTCCTTTTATGTTAGAATTCTGTTTAGGATTTTTTTTAGTTACGTTTATTTCTTTTCTTTTTTTTTCTGTTTTTCTCTTTTTTTTTCCTAGATATAGTTTTTTCTTTCATAAATGTGGTATATTTTTTGTTTCTTATAGAAAAATAAAAGATTAACTATTCTGCCCGGATCTTGTAGAAAAAGTTTTAAAGAAGAAATAGGTAGTCTTGATGGGCTAGCAGAAACCTTCCAGTGAAGTTTTATTTTCTTCAAGTGCAGGAGTAAATATTATAGAGGAGAATTTTGCTTATAGCAGATCGCCCATGAGTAATTTGGACTTTGGTCACAAAGAGCCAAGTGAGCTAATACTTGTAATTTGGGCATCATAAAGACTTGATCTTAGAGTCTTGTTTTTCAAAAATTTGTAATATTTCTCAGTATAATATTCCAAGCCTAATAAAGTAGAGGCAAGATTCCCAAATCTTCAAAAAAAAAAAAAATTTGTAATTAATAAAACCTCGTGAATATAAAGATTTTATAATGTTAATTAACAGAAGTTTAGTAAATTGGTATGAATAATATCACTTTATTATATAGTAAAAAATTTTACAAGTGGAAATGTCTATTAACAGGTATTAATACAATATATTCAGTATTTTGTTTACCTATAGAATATTCAAAGAGTATAAAATGGCTATAAATATTATGAATTGGTATAATAGAATTCCTGCCCATTGCATAAAATTCTTTTTGCTATAATTCTATGTTACAACTTTTTAAATCATCATTGATTTAATAATTAAATCAAGTTTTGTAGTTTTAAGCTGGAAAGAACTACCTAATATATGCTAAACTATATACATGCTTTTTATTATTTAAAATTATTTCGTGTTCAAAATAGAATTGGGCCTGCTCAGGAAATAATTCAGCAACTTTATTGTTTTGAATAAATTTCACTAAAATATATGAACTTTTTTGATATTGTAATAACATACTTGATCTGAATATTTTAGATCCAATCTGAATGCATCCAAATTGATCTACAACTAGACGAACAGTTATTGATTGATTATGATTAATTTTGCCAATTGAGACAAAGTTTAATTGATAACAATTACTATAATAATCAAATAATAAATCGTAAATATTATCGGGCAAGGTTTTTTGTAGTTTTTTTGATTTCATCATTTCACCCAAAAAATCTTTGGTGCCAGCATTTGTTACATTGCCTTCTAACCTATACATCATTAAAAATTAACCCAATTCAGCCGCTTCAAAATTATCATTTATTGCCAAGCTACTAACAGTAGAATATGAAGCAAGTAATTGAAACACTGTTAATAATTTATTATTATTTGAATTGGTAATTAAATATTCTAATTGCCAATTTTGTGTCATAATTTTTAGAAGCTCTGATTCAATCTGACATTTGCTATTTTTATATACTCCTAAAATTCTATTTATTCTTTCGAATGAATAACACCAGAATGAATACAGAAAGCCATAGTCGAAACAGCATTCAACTATATAAAGTAACAAATAAATATTAGATGTTATCGCTTCTACCTCATAATTTTCTTCAATTAGCCTAGCAACTGTCTGCAATCGGCTATTTGCCTTATTAAATATATTATTATCAATAATATATAATACAAGCAAAGTGCAAGCCCTAATGAAATTGGCTAAAATTTTTTAATCAAACTCTCCTAAAAGATTTCACATTACTGGTGTTGCATAGTATAAAATAAATGATTCCACTAATTAGTAATAAACTCAGAAAACCCATTACTGGTTGTGATTTTATTGGGTATTCTTCCTAGATCTGTAAATAATTGGATCTTTTTTGCTTGATCAGCTATTCGAAGGTCAGATTTGGAAATTACTCCATTTTTGCACCAGATCTTTTTTATAATGCATTGCAATATCCCAAACAATGCATAAGATCAATGACCAAATGTTCGATTGGGTCATAATATAGCAATCAAAGAAGCTTTGACTATCTAATATGGGTATTAGAAACATGCTTCTTTCTTTGATCTTCAGTTGTACATTGAAACCATGCTTGAGCATTCTTTATATATTTATCCAAGTCCCGTTTTTCAAACTGATTTGTTGATTTTTCATAATTGTTTTTTTTTATTTTTTTATTCTATTTTTTTTTTTATTTTTTTTAAATATCTGCTCATAATATTGGTGATATCCAGATAAAGCAAAAATATGTTTGCATAATTTTCTTGCTGCTGAAATATCACATGAGCAGCAAATTACTGCAAGTCTAATTTTTTTTCTATTTGATAATGTTGCACTTCCTATAATTCCAATAATTCATCTACTACTAGCACCAAATAATGGTTAATTTTATGCAACTTGACCTTATTAGAATCTGGTAAAAGCCCAAATACAAGCATATTCTTCCTTTTAAATCTTATATCGTGTGGAAGATTGCATATAACTTCATAAATTACACCACAGCTATATATTGAAGATTTGAATAGTTGAAACCAATCAAGATTTATTAAAATACCCAAATTAGAGTCTGCTGTTTCTGATGTGAAAAAATAAGAATTATCCGAACTGTTAACTTGAGAAAGAAAAGTTTTCCAAACTTTTCCATCATAGATATCAGAAATTATATTGGTATTTACAGATTGATTGGTTCATTTTTTGAGCAATACAATAAACCCATCTTGCTGATATATTAAAGACAATTGATATTTAATACTTGGTAGTGGGTATTGCATCTGTAGTTGCCAAACATGCTCTTTTACTGTTAAAATTTTTTTCAATAGCTTTTCTCCACAAGGATTTTGCTGGCTTGGTCTTGGATGATTTGAAAACTCCTTGTGTATACACTTAAAACCATCAAATTCTTGATTATCTGATGTTATTTCCATTATATTATATAATTTATCACATTTAGAACAAACAGTAAATATTTTATACTGTATATTAAAATACAACATATTTCATGCAAGATTGATGTTTGATAGAAACTTATCAAATCGGCTTTTATCAATATTTTTTAAAATTAGGCAAAGAAAACCAATAAGAGCGTCAATTACTATTCTTGAAAGCTAAAATCTTTCTTGAAACTTAAAAACCTATAAAAAAATCTATAATAAATCATTGATATTTGCATTGAGTTCAGGAATAGACTCATTAAAATTAATTTTAGGAGCTTAAAAAGAATTAGTTGGGATACTTTCTATATTTTCAATGTCTTCATAATCGTCTAAAGATATTAATATTTCATTGTCATTTTCTATTATGCTATTGCTATTATTTAAAAACTCTAATTCATTATTCTTAAAGCGATTATCCTCAAAGTAATTATTGCTATGTTTGTTATTCTCAAAGCGATTATCCTCAAAGTGATTATTGCTATATTTGTTATTCTCAAAGCGATTATCCTCAAAGTAATCATTGTTATGTTCATTATTCTCAAAGCAATTATCTTCAAAGTATTCATTATTATATTTATTATTCTTAAAGCGATTATTCTCAAAGTGATCATCATTATGTTTATTATTCTCAAAACAATTATCTTCAAAGTGATCATTGTTATGTTTGTTATTCTTAAAGTGATTATTCTCAAAGTAATCATTGTTATATTCGTTATTCTCAAAGCAATTATCCTCAAAGTGATCATTATTATATTCATTATTCTCAAGATTATAGCTATTTTCTAATTCTGAAATTGATTTCTTTTTCTTTTTTTGATAAACGTTGAAGATATCTGAATTTGGCTAATTATCTGTGTTGAATTATGAGACTTTATTGCCAACTTTACATCATTAAGACTAATTTCATTTTGAATATTTTTTGATTTTACAGAGTTCTCTTTATTTGTTTTTATTTTCTTAGAAAATTTACTTTAAAAAATTTACCTCTTCTTCATTATGCAGGCTTTTTGTTTTTGGGTCAACCATACACCTATCGGGTTTTTATAACAATATTTTTTGCAATGACACCTAACTTTATATTGAGTTCTAATAAATTGCTTTTGAGCTTTTTCAGATAGGTTGACATATTAGAATTTAAAATAAAGAAATAGCAATAATACTATTTAGAAGCAAAAGATATGATAGTTTTGCCATGCTGATATTTAGAAGCGTAAATAATATTGAAACTATTTGTGTGTCAATTGCAAGAGTTATAATGACAATTAGACTGGATTTTTTTTTACAAGTGTTATAACAATAATTAGATTAATTTATATATTCTAGATTTATAGCATATATAGTGGTAAATATTATATTTAATAGATTAAATTTATTAATAATATTTTATTTAATGCCTAGAGCACTGCAATTTAATTTACATGAACGAGTAATTCTATGTATATTTTAGATTCACTAAAATGATAAATGAAGAACTCACAGAAGAAAAATATATTAGGCTATGCAAAGTAAATTAGTTGGTTCTCGTTACATACAACAAGCAAATAGGACCTGGTTGGCTAGCAAAAAATATCATATTTACAAATTTTTTTTATATAAAAAAAATTTTATAAATTTTTTTTTTTATACAAGAATAAAAAATTTTATGTAGAAAAAAATTTTGCCTTTTTTAAAAAAGTTACCTGGTCAGGTAATAAGAACCAACTTTATTTGTTTGCATGGCCTTATATTAAAATTTATACTATCAATGTCCAAGGTTCTGTTTAGGTACTGCAAAACTCAAAAACTCTGATCTACATATTTCCCAGCTATTCAAAGATATCATTATTGATTTAAATTAGCATCAAAAAGTTACTTGAAACAATGTTGAAAAACTTTTAGCAATAGCATAGTAAATAGTTAACAAAACAAGTATTTTTAAGTTCTAGATTAACTAAGGGTGCCTTCAAGCATAAAATTTGGTCCTTTTGAATATTTAAAAACTAGAGTTTTCAAATTTTTGTAGTATCTGAATAGCGTTATTTTTTTTTGTTCTTTAACTAATTTATATAAACAAGTAATTCTATATATATTTTAGATAACCGAAAAATTCACTAAAATGATAAATGAAGAACTCACAGAAGAAAAATATAATAAATATAAATTTATAATATGATTTTGCTAAATTTGCTAATTTCAATAGCACTGGATTTTAGTAGCATCTAAAATAATGCTATTTCATCATTTGAAGTAAAATGCAGAATTTGCTATTTACTTTTATTGTTAAAATAATTTACATAACCAATTATATATATATTTTAGATGATTAAAGAACTCTCTAAAATGATAGATGAACTTCAAAAAAAAAAAAATTTATATTTAACACATAAATTTGTAATAAGCCTTTGTGTGGGCATTTAAAACAAATAATAAAAGCATATGTATATAATTGTTAAATTTTTTTTTATTATCTTAAATTCATAATTATTATAATGAAATATAGTATCTATATGGTTTCTTACACAATTTGAAATTATCACCTCACACAAAAATGCTTTTCAAACCGCATAATTAGAACAGAATAATTGACCTGTGTGTGACAGTAGTCTGATGTAATTGATCGTAATTAATTTATGATTATAAATAATGTAGTGATTGTAATTATTGTATAACAATGTAGTAATAGTTGTCTCTATAACAATTAGCCCATAACATATATTATTTTATTGTATTAATCATTCACTATACTATATTATTGTTATATTTAAAAACTTACTTTTGTTCTAAATCAGTAATAATAAATCTTAATTAATTATAACCAGAGCCAGTAGTCGTTAGAACCAAAACTAGTTAGCAAAATTAGCTAGTAAATTTTGCAAATTTAGCAAAATTGCTTATTACAAAATTTATATTTGTCAATTATAAATTTTAATGTAGTCGTATGTTCTTCGATAACAATATGTATATAATTGTATGTTTATATAATTAGTTTAAGAACAAAAAGAATAGTCACATGCTTAGCAAATTTCTAGCAGAGCTAAAACAATATATAGTAAATACCGGCCATTTAATAAATATCATTTTTGATTCATATTATATTAATATTTTATTACTCATAAATTTGATATATCAAAAATAATACTTCAAACAATGGATAGTGGCACAGTAAATGACCTCCAGATACTATGTGTCGTTTTAGCCCTGATTTCTAAATGCTACATACTAAAATCCAAGGGCTCTAATTACAACTAATAACGTTTTTACAATACTTTTGTCTTAAATTTAGTAATGACAATCAGGGCTCCTGGCAAAAATAGCTATTAAAATTAGCAAATTTAGCAAAATCGCTTATTATAAATTATATTTATTAAGTATAAATTTTAATGTAATTATATCTTTCTTCTGCGAGTTCTTTATCTATCATTTTAGTGAATTCTTCAGTCATCATCTAAAATATGCATATAATTACTTGTTCATGTAAATCAGTTCAAAAACAAAGTAATAATTATATGTTTGGTGCAAAAATAGTAAATTTTGCATTTTAGCACAAGTGCTAATTTAGATGCTACAAAAATTCAAGAACACTGATTAAAATATAAAAAGGATTGAATTGCCAACTCGATTCAAATAAGGTTTGTTTGCTTTTTTTTATCTTTAAGATGGCAAAAAAAATGGGTACTACAACTTGAAAGCTAAAATATAAAGCTAAGAGTAAAAATAAAAATAAATATAAAAACAAAAGTAGTAAAAATAAAAGTAAAAAAAAAGTAAAAAAAAAAACATAGCAAAAAAAAAAAAATATAAGAGTAAGAGTGAAAGTAAGAGTGAGAGTGAAAGTGAAAATGAAAGTGAGAGTGAGAGTAGAAGTGAATATAGTAAAAGTGAAAATGAATATAGTAAAAGTAAAAATAGCAAAAATAAAGGCAAGAATAAAAAAAATAAAAAAAATATCAAAGAAAAAAAAAGTTAGAAAAAAGAGCTCTAGTTTAGTTAGTTTGAAAGAGAAGGAGAAGGCAGAAATACTTCAAACAAAGAAGTATATTTCTATTGAAGATATTCCATATGAGCTTTTAAAAGCATTACAGAAAAATATTGTCAGTATATAGTGCAATCTTAGAATAGTTTAGCTTAGAATAGTTTTAGTTTTCATTATTAATATAAATTTGTATGTTTATGCCAGATCAAAATTCCAATATTGTGTTTCATTATGGTAGGTATTAGCAGTATTGTAATTATTTTGATATGATGCAAATTTCAACTTGTATATAGAAAAGTCTTAGTTTAGTTTTCGTTATAAACTTCTATGATTGAATATATATATTAAAAAAGTTTTAGTTTTTGTTATAAACTTTGTATATTTATGTCAAATTAAAATTCCAATACTGCATTTCATTATGATAGGTATTAGCAGTATTGTAATTATTTTGATTTGATGCAAATTTTAACTTTGTATATAGAAAAGTCTTGGTTTAGTTTTTGTTATAAACTTCTATAATTGAATATGTATATTAAAAAAGTTTTAGTTTAGTTTTTATTATAAACTTCTACTATTCAATCGTATGTTAAACTTTGTATATTTATACCAAATCAAAATTTCAATATTACGTTTCATTAAAGTAGGTATTAGTAGTATTGTAATTATTTTGATTTGATGCAAATTTCAATTTCGTATATATATATAGTTCAATCTCTTAGTTTTTGGTATTAGTAATATTAAACTTCTATGATTGAATACAGTATTTTGTATTTCAAATTGAAATTTACACCAGATATTAAGTAGATATTAGTAGTATGCAAATTTTAATTTGATATGTGATAATGCCATAAATCAAGATCTAAAATGCTTTCTAAAATATTTACCAGCTTTAAATGTTTGATAGTAATAATTATATATTATTTATTATATGTATATCTTTATAATATTTAATTCATTTATTTTAGAAAGAAATTACTTGGATTCTATTGAGATTGTAGCCTAACAAGCAATTAGATTTAAGTAAAATGTTTGAAGATAGATCTGGTCAATAATGCTATAATTTCAATAGTTATGGGAGCTTTGGATAAAGAAATCTTTCTGATCATTAATAGTGTAATTTATTGAATATTATATAACTGACATAGATACAAGAGAGAAGAGTTTCTTATAATGCAAAAATCGCCCAAAGAAATAGATAGTAAAAAAAAGAAGAAGACATAAAAATAGCTATTGATATGCTGTAAGTAAAAATATTGTTAATTTAATTGACTTTTTACAGTATTACTCTTTTTTTTAATAATAGAAATAACTATAAAGAGCAATAGTTATTGACCACCTAATGATCAATAAAGCATGAACATGTAGCATAATCGCTAAAAAAAAAATTTAAGAAAAATAAGCAAAAAAGATTTAGTATTAATAAAGAATAATAATTGCTATCACTTTCTAAAGGTTTCGGAAACAGATAGTAATAATGAATCAACAGAAAAAAAAGTTGTGGTTAAAAACTTAAAGTGGAGATCAAAAACCATAAGTTTTTATTATGTATTTAAAATTAAACAAAAATATTATTTTTAAAAAGAAAAATCTATTTATATATCTGTATTGTCTTGTACTATTTTGAAAAAATACTCTAGAGAAAGTAATAAAAAAATAAAAAAAAAAATAATTTAAGAAATTAATAGAATAGAGATTGTTATTGATAATACTATTTACTAAAGACAAAATTTTCTTAAATATAAAAAACTGAGGATATTTTACAAAAACCCAAGTATTTAATTGAATATAATTGAAAAGTTTAATCTTTATTAATTAAATAATAAATAAATATCAATTGTTAATAATTATTATAATTTACTTATTATTATTATTATTTGTAATAAAACTTTTTAAACTAAAAATATTATCTTAAAAAACTTTATCAACCTTTAGTATTAATTTATCGTATTCATCACTATTATCATCTGTAATAGAATTATAACTACTATCTTTACTAATTTCTTCTTTATAGTTAATGTAAGTTTCAAATTAAGTATTATAAATATTATTATTTTTTAAATCAGGTGTAATATAA